ACCCAAAACCCTAAACCGTTCCAGAGTTTTTGAAGTCAACCCTCAACCTTAAACCCTCAACCTTAAACCCTAAACCCTAAACCTTAAACCTTAAACCCTAAACCCTAAAGCCTAGTTCTAAGGTATTTCGGAGCCCTGATCTCCCTCGTCCACAACGAGACGAGCACCGTCTGCGTGCAGCGAGCACTGCAGGTGGTTCGGCTTCCTTTATCCCCAGAGACTCCAATACCCCTGAATTAAGGAATATACCTTAAATCATATTAGGGATCCTACTATAATTTAGGGTATATTCCTTAATATATTGGAGTCTCTGGGTCTCTCGTTTCAAAGGGTTCCTTTAGCGATCCCTTCAGGTTTCGGGGTTTAGGATTTAGGGATATTGGATTTGGGTTTTGAGCTGGGATTGGGTGTTGGAGTCAAGCCTTGACAACCCTAAACCCTAAACCCTAAACCTAAACCCTAAACCCTAAACCCTAAACCCTAGACCCTAAACCCTAAACCCTAAACCGCGGCGTCTGGTTTAAGGGTGAGGAATTCCGTGGTGCTCGTGCTCGAGATGTTTGGAATCCTTTGGAATCCTTGAACCCCAGAGCCTGCAGCCCGGCAGACCCAAAAGCCCTAAAAAGGATTGGCCTGACTAATATAGGGGTTTAGAGTTTAGGGTTTAGGGTTTAGGGTTTAGGGTTAATAATTCCTCTATAGATTGGGTTTAGGGTTAAGGGTGTAGGGTTTCCATAATTACCTGTATTATTGGGGGGTTCCTTATGGGGAAAAGAACTATGAAGGACCCCCAAACCCTATTCCAAGTATCAAGGCCCCTACATTAAGTTGTTCTTAAAACCTCAGGCGGTAGCCCTGAATCCAGCCTCTTTACATCTTAGGCTCCAAAGCTTGAACCCTAAACCTTGTGCGTGCTGCAAAGCGAATCCTCCAGGCCGCGCGTGGAAATCGACAGGCGGAAGAGCTGTTGTCTTTCTGTTTCTGTTACATTCAGGGACAGGGAGCCTACTTTTGAGAACTTGTTTTGTCTGGGTGAAGATTTACATTTAATTGTAGGGGCTTGAATAGGGTTTTGGGGTATATTATACTATAATTATAATAAGGAGCCCCCCAAATCGTATAGGTAATTGTTTATTCGGGAGTAACTGGGTGGGGGGTTGCTTACATAAGAATAGGTGCGGGCTTCAGGGCTACTCGCGGTTTCGAGTCTCCTACACCCTCGGAGATCCCGACATGAACCACAAGGATTTAGGCCGTCGTCACCCAAGTCCTAACACTAAATCTAGGACATTTTCAGGTGGGTCGTTACCGTTATAGGAGCATTATAGAAGGTCTATATACCTTCTGGAACCTTATGGAAGCCTTATAGAAGCCCCATATACCCTAAACTCCCCACCTGTAGTTTCTTTCAACTAAGCCCGAAACCCTGATCTCTATTCCCAGCGACAATCGAGCTTCTGCCCGCAGGTTGATTGCGACGGCGATGTCGCTGGCACCTCGCAAACCACATCAGTCGAGGGACTCTGCAGCACTCTTCGTGAGATATCTGGTACCCTAAACCCTAAACCCT